TCAGTACACATCTGTTGAATCGATGAATGAACAAACGAATTCCTGTTGGATGCGTCAGAAGACCAATGCTCAGAGATGTTGTTCTACACCCCCGAGGTCACACAGCAAGAATGGGCCTGAGCTGGAAGCAGCCTGGGCTCATACCCTTGCTTTATTCAGTTAATGAGGCTGGATTCCAACATCTGTTCCTGAATATCTGCAGTGTGCCAGGCTCCCAGGGTTGGCATTGGCTATGTAGCTATCACCCCTGTACCATGAGGCCACACAGCCTTTATTGTAGGAAGGTCCTCTCACCTCTACGAGTGCTCTTTTCTTTTTTCTTTTTTTGGAGACAGGGTTTTGCTCTGTTGCCCAGGCTGGAGCACACTGGTGCGATCAGATCTCACCGCAGCCTCTCACTGCAGCCTCAATCTCCTGGGCTCAAGCAATCCTCCCACCTCAGCCTCCCAAGTAGCTGGATCTAAAGGCAGGCATCACCATGCCCAGCTAATTCAAACAATTTTTTTTTGGCTGGGCGCAGTGGTTCATGCCTGTAATCCCAGCACTTTGGGAGGCCGAGGAGGGCAGATCACAATGTCAGGAGTTCAAGATCAGCCTGGCCAATATGGTTAAACCTGTTTCTACTAAAAATACAAAAATTAGCTGGGCGTGGTGGCATGCGCCTGTAATGCCAGCTACTTGGGAGGCTGAGGCAGAAGAATCGCTTGAACCCAGGACGCAGAGGTTGCAGTGAGCTCTGATCAAGACACTGCACTCTAGCCTGGGCGACAAAGTGAGACTCCATCTAAAAAATAAAAAATTTTTTTCTTTGGTATAGTTGGGGTCTCACTTTGTTGCCCAGGATGGTCTCGAGCTCCTGGCCTCAAGAGATCCTCCTGCCTCAGCCTGCCAAAGTGCTGGGATTACAGGCATGAGCCACCATGCCCAGCCCAAAAAGTGCTCTTGATGGACAGACATACTGTCAGGCCTTTTGACCTATTTACCTGTCCCCTGCCCCGTTACTTTCCCCCTTCTCCTATCCCTCTATGTCAATTTGGAGCTGCTCCCCACCCCCATCCATCTGGAGTCTGATTAGCACCGTGGTGCTTAGCAGGTGTTTGCTGAGCAGACAGACTTTTTCCTCCTTTTCAGATGAATGTCCATTTCCTCACCTCGAGAACAGGTATAGCCACATTTGCCCTCCTATGGGTTGGGAAGGTTCTATGACATCAGGCCATACAACGGGGAAAACCCAGCCCCCAGAGTCAGCTTTGAATGGAAAAGGAGGTTCATCTGCTCCTGCCCTCCTACCTCGATTAAGACTGGGGCTACCCCACTGCCCACGTGCGGTGCAGGGAAGGTGAAGTATATTGCTTATACTGAGCCTGTCTGGTGAGAAGTACATTCTATTTTGTTTGAGGCACTCATGTTCTGAGTCTCAGTTGTGGAAACCCAACGTAATGCTCCCTGTGGGCCTGATGAATGTTCCTTGTTGTCGAAACCAATTTGAGTTGCTTTTCCTCTTACTTTTAGTGAAAAGCTCCCACAAAGGGAAGTTGGGGTCTTGCCCCTTGGGGTACGTGTTAGTTTCCTATAGTGACTATAACAAATTACCCATAAATTGAGTGCCCCAGAGCAATGGAAATGGATTATTCTTATTATTATTACTATTTTTGAAACAGAGTCTTGCTCTGTCGCCCAGGCTGGAGTACAGTGGTGCGATCTTGGCTTACTGCAACCTCCGCCTCCCAGGTTCAAGTGATTCTTCTGCCTCAGCCACCTGAGTAGGTGGGATTACAGACACTGGTCACCATTCCCAGCTAATTTGTATTTTTAGTAGAGACGGGGTTTCACCACATTGGCCAGACTGGTCTCGAACGCCGAACCTCAAGTGATCCACCCATCTTGGCCTCCCAAAGTGCTGGGATTACAGACGTGAGCCACTGCGCCCAGCTGTATTAATTATTTTATAGTTCTGGAGGTCAAGAGACCAGCATCAGTCTCACTGGGCTGAAACCAAGATGTTTGTTAGCTGGGCCATGCTTCTTCAAGAGGTTGTGGTGTAATAATCCTTTTTCTTGCTTTTTCTAGCCTCTGCAGATGCATTTTTTTTTTTTTTTTTGAGACTCGCTCTTGTTGCCCAGGCTGGAGTGCAGTGGAGTGATCTAGGCTCGTTGCAACCTTCACCTCCCAGTTCAAGCGATTCTCCTGCCTCAGTCTCCTGAGTAGCTGGGATTATAGGCATGCGCCACCACGCCCAGCTAATGTTTTGTATTCTTAGTAGAGATGGAGCTTCTCCATGTTGGCCAGGCTGGTCTCAAACTCCTGACCTCAAGTGATCTGCCTGCCTCAGTCTCCAAAAGTGCTGAGATTGCAGGAGTGAGCCATTAACATGATGTTTCAAAATACTTACACGTGGAATTGTTCAATTGTGTGAATGAGCATATTCATTACTGACCACACCTGCATGTTTTTGGTGGTGAGAACACAATTTTTTTTTCTAAGTTATTTATTGATCTTAAACTGACAAATAGGCCAGGCATAGTGGCTCACACCTGTAATCCCAGCACTTTGGGAGGCTGAAGCGGGTGGATCACCTGAGGTCAGGAGTTCGAGACCAGCCTGACCAACATAGTGAAATTCTGTCTCTACTAAAAATACAAAAATTAGCCAGGCTTGGTGGCGGACACCTGTATTCCCAGCTGCTCAGAAGGCTGAGGCAGGAGAATCACTTGAACCCAGGAGGTGGAGGTTGCAGTGAGCCGAGATTGTGCCATTGCACTCCAGCCTGGGTGACAGAGCAAGACTCCACCCCAGCCTGGGGAACAGAGTGAGAGACTCCATCTCAACAACAACAAAAAACTCCTAACACATAAAATACTACGTATTTGTGACATAATATGACATAAATATCATATGACTTAATGTTTTAAAATATGTATATATTGTGGAGTGGGTAAATTGAGTTAATTACCACATGTGCACTTCACATACTTCTCATGTTTTGTGGTTAGAACACAATTTTTTTTTTTTTTTGAGACAGAGTCTCGCTCAGCCGCCAGGTGCCAGGCTGGAGAACAGTGGAGTGATCCTGGCTCACCGCAACCTCCGCCTCCTGGGTTCAAGCAATTCTCCTGCCTCAGCCTCCCAAGTAGCTGGGACTGCAGGAGTCCACCACCATGCCCAGCTAACTTTTGTATTTTTTAGTAGAGGCAGGGTTTCATCATGTTGGCCAAGATGGTCTCGATCTCCTGACCTCGTGATCCACCTTCCTCAGCCTCCCAAAGTGCTGGGATTACAGGCATGAGCCACCGCACCCGGCCGTAGAACACAAATTTTAAAATTGTTTATATGTTTGGCTTAAATTGACAAACAAAAATTGCATGTATTTATGGTGTTCAACATGAGTTTTAAAGTACGTTTGCATTGTGGAATGGCTAAGTTGAGCATCATCTCACGTGCTTCTCTCATTGCCTTCTACCACGTTTTGTTGGTTATAAGAGAGTCACGACCGGGCACGATGGCTCACACCTGTAATCCCAGTATTTTGGGAGGCTGAGGCTGGCGGATCACCTGAGGTCAGGAGTTTGAGACCAGCCTGGCCAACATGGTGAAACCCTGCCTCTAGGAGTCCAAGATCACAGTGAGCTATAAGCACTCCCTCCTGGGTGACAGAATGAGATCCTGCCTCTAAAAAAAAAAAAAAAAAAAAAAAAAAATTAGAGCTGGTGGAGAGGAAGAGAGATTGGTCAATGGGTACAGGTACACAGTTAGATGTAAGGTTGAAGTTTTTTTTTTACTTTTTTAAAAAATAGAGATGGGGTCTCTCTGTGTTGACCAGGCTGGTCTCAAACTCCTGGTTTCAAGCGATCCTCTCATGTTAGCCTCCCAAAGTGCTAGGATTACAGGCATGAGCCACCGTGCCTGGCCAGAAGTTCTCATTTTTGATAACAGAGTCGGATGACTACAGTTAGCCACAATATCTTATATAATTCAAAGTGGCTGGATGAGAGAACCTGGAATGTCTCTAACATGTAGAAATGAGAAATACTCAAGGCAACCCCAAGTAACCTGACTTGATCATTACGACATTCTATGCATATAGCAACAAATACCACATGTACCCTGTAAACATCTAAACTATTAGGAACCAATTTTTTTTCCCCTAGAGATGGGGTCTCGCTATGTTGCCCAGGCTGGAGTGCAGTGGCTCTTTACAGGCGCGATCCCACTACTGATCAGCACAGGAGTTTTGACCTGCTCCGTTTCCAACCTGGGCCAGTTCACCCCTCCTTTTGCAACCTGGTGGTCCCCCGCTTCTGGGAGGTCACCATATTGATGCTGAACTTAGTGCGGACACCTGATCAGCATAGCGCACTACAGCCCAGAACTTCTGGGCTCAAGCGGTCCTCCAGCCTCAGCCTCCCAAGTAGCTGGGACTATAGGCACACGCCATCACCCTGACAAGAACCAAGTTTTTAGAAAAGAAGCCAACTCTATTTGAGTCTGTGCTGGTGACCCTCTCTCCTTTTTTTTTTTTTTTTTTTTTTGAGGAACCTCGCTCTATCACCTAGGCTGGAGTGCCATGGCGCGATTTCAGCTCACTACAACCTCTGCCTTTTGAGTTCAAGCAATTCTCCTGCCTCAGCCTCCTGAGTAACTGGGATTACAGGAGTGTGCCACCACACCCGGCTAATTTTTGTATTTTTAGTAGAGACAGGGTTTCACCATGTTGGCCAGGCTGATCTCGAACTCCTGACCTTAAGTGATCTGCCTGCCTTGGCCTCCCAAAGTGCTGGGATTACAGGTGTGAGCCACCGCGCCCTGCCAGTTCAGCTGTCATTGTTCCTTCTGTGCATGAATCCAAACTGGGGAGAAGAAAGGCCGTGTGTGTGTGTGTGTGTGTGTGTGTGTGCACGCGCATGTGTGTGTGCACATGTGAAGTCTGGGGGCTTCCCCTAAAGATGAATTTGCATGTAATTTACTTTGAAGGGAAAAGGGAACTGAGAGAGCCAGCCCCCAGACACCCGAGTAGGAGGGACAGTGGGCAGAGGTTGCCAAGCCCTGGCTGCCACTCGTCGGTTTCCTTGTGTTAGACATGCATAATCTGTATACCAGCGCTGGGTACCCGAACCCACCAGGTAAAGCTTCAGCCAGGCTGGGACTGGGGCCCAGGTGTGGTCAGGACCCAGGGTACAGAATCCCCACCATGGGGCAACTGAGACAGAGACCAGGGATTGAGGGATGAAGGGAGGAGGGAATGGCTGGCTCTGACTTGCCTTTCCCCTGGAAGGGACCGTGGAGGAGGAGGAGGATGAGGAGGATGACTATGAGAACATGGTGCCTCCCTACAAGGACCTTCCACCCAAGCCAGGTAAGAGGACTTTTTGGGGCATGACCTGGGGAGAATGCAGAGAAAAGGGTCTCCAGGGGGCGTCGGGTGGGTATGGTAGACACACAGTCAGTTTCCTTTGTACCCAGCTTATGCCAGGCGCCATGCAACCCACACCCTGTCCAAGAGAATCTGCCAGTCTGATGGTGGAGGCGGGTTTGGGCACAGTCTTGGTGAGCAGGGCTGAGAGAGGAGGGGTCAGGAGATCGGGACAATCCTCAGGGGATTGAAGGCTCAATTAGAGGAAGAGACTTTGGGGTGGACTTGAGGGATGAGTAGATTCTCTCTCTCTCTCTCTTTCTTTCCTGTTTTTTTTTTTTTTTTTTTGAGATGGAATCTCACTCTGTTGCCCAGGCTGGAGTGTAATGGCGTGATCTCAGCTCACTGCAACCTCTGCCTCCCGGGTTCAAGTGATTCTTGTGCCTCAGCCTCTCAAGTAGCTTGGATTACAGGTGCACACTACCACACTAGGCTACTTTTTTGTATTTGTAGTAGAGACGGGGTTTCACAGTGTTAGCCAGGATGGTCTCGATCTCCTGACCTTGTGATGTACCCTCCTCGGCCTCCCAAAGTGCTGGTATTACAGTTGAGAGCCACCATGCTTGGCAAGTAGGTATTTCTTAAGAAGAAAAGTCCAGGAGAGAAGTGTTGGGTGCAAAGTCCCTGAGTCACAAAAGCTGGTGCTTGAGAGACTGGGAGTGGACTGTGGGCTCCCAATCTCCTTACCTTCCCACCGCAAGCCCAGGTTTTACTTATACTTAGATCTCAAACCCAAGGCATGGCACATGGTTCAGTAAGAGTCTGATGAGTGGTTATAAAAGTGGAGGTTTGGGCTGGTTGCAGTGGTGTGTGTCTGTAGTCTCAATGCTTCGGGAGGCCAAGGCAGGAGGATCGCTTAAGGACAGGAGTTTGAGACCAGCTGGGGCAACATAGCAAGACCCCATCTGTGCCAAAAAGAGAAAAGAAAAGAAAAAACGTAGAGGTGTGGGCTGGGTATGGTGTTCTGTAGTCCCAGCTACTTGGGAGGCTGAGTCAGGAGGATCACTTGAGCCCAGGAATTCTGGGTTATCGTCAACTATGTGATCAGGCGTCTGCACTAAGTTTGGCATCAATATGGTGACATTTTGGGAGCAGGGGACCACCAGGTTTGAGGAGGGGTTTCCAGGTTGGAAATGGGGCAGCTCGACACTCCCTAGCTGATCAGTAGTGAGACTGCTCCTGTGAGTAGCCACTGCACTCTGGCCTAGGCAACAGCGAGACCGCACTTACAAAAAAAAAAAAAAAAAAAGAATAGAAAATGAAAGTGGAAGTTTTTGAGGTTTTCCTGAGTTTACCGCCACCAGGGCCCTGAGACCATGAGAGATCCCAGGGGCCCAAAACACAAAGTCCCTGAGATATGCTGATGGCCTGGTCCTGGGGTCCTTAGACAGGGGCCATTCCACGAGGGCTGAGGCGGTATGTCACCATCGCTGAGTCCAGTGTGGGGACCCCTGGGAGGCCCAGAAGTACGGTGGGACTTGCACGAGGCAGGAGGTGAACTGGGCTGTTTTTCTCCACCCCATCTCCAACTTATAGTCCTAATGTCACCCTCAAGCCCGGCGTCTTCATATATGACCCACCCATCCCAATCCCTTCTTCAGGGCCACGTCTCCTCCAAAAGCACAGTCCTGTCCCCACTGCCACATGTAGCCCCGCATCCGCCCTCCAATCCAACTTCATCACCTTGTCTACTGCAACCCAGCGTCGACTCCCTCCCCATCCCCAAACCTGGCAGGGACTCCCTTCTTCATCCTAAGCACATCGTGACCCTACTCCACATCCATCCCTGTCCCCAACCCATCTTCCATCCCATCCCACCCCATCCCAACAGGAATTCCTTTTTTTTTTGAGATGGAGTCTCACTCTGTTGTCAGGCTGGACTGCAGTGGCATGATCTACGGTCGCTGCAACCTCCGCCTCCCAGGTTCAAGTGATTCTCCTGCCTCAGCCTCCTGAGTAGCTGGGATTACAGGTGTGCATCACCACGCCCAGCTAATTTTTGTATTTTTAGTAGAGATGGGGTTGGTTTCACCACGTTGGCCAGGATGGTCTCAAACTCCTGAACTCATGATCTGCCCGCCTTGGCCTCCCAAGGGGCTGGGATTACAGGCATGAGCCATTGCGCCCGACCTTCTTCTTTTTAAAGAGTGGGGTCTCCATCTGTTGCCCAGGCTGGAGTGCAGTAGTGCAATCATGGCTCACTGCTGCGTCAACCTCCTGAGCTCAAGCAATCCTCCCACCTCAGCCTCCTGAAAGCTGCGGCTAGAGGCGTGCACCGCCATGCCTGGATGGCTTTTTCTAAAATATTTTGCAGAGATAGGGTCTTGCCATGTTGCCTACGGTGGTCTTGAACTCCTGGCCTCAAGCGATCCTCCTGCCTTGCCCTCTCAAAGTACTGGGATTATAGGTATAAGCCACTGTGCCCAGCCTATTTCTATGTCTCTTTACTAGTTTATTGTCAGTCTGATGGTAGAGGTGGGTTTGGGCACAACCTTGGTGAGCAGGGCTGAGAGAGGAGGAGTCAGGAGATTGCCAAATCCTTGGGGGATTGAGGGTTCAATTAGAGGAAGGGACTTTGGGGTGGGACTTGAGGGACCAGTAGACATTTCTTTTTTTGAGGTGGAATCTCACTCTGTCACCCAGGCTGGAGTTCAGTGGCATGATCTCAGCTCACTGCAACCTCCACCTCCCGCTCTAGATTGATGGAAGGAGCTTATCCATCTCTTCCACTCAGGGCTTGGTGCTCTGTAGAGGAGCTCAACTGGGGTGGGGGGGAGTGTTGTCATTGCTTCTTCTATGTGTGAATCCAAACTCTGTAGAAAGATGTGTGTGTGTGTGTGTGTGTGTGTGCATGTGCGTGTGTGTGTGTGTGTGTGTGTGTGTGTCTGTCTGTGAGGTCTGGGGCTTCCCTGCTAGATGGATTTACATGTACTTGACTTTGAAAAGAAAGAGAAACAGACAGATGCCTTAGACACCTGAGTAGGAGGACAAGCCCTGGCTGCTTCTCCCTATGTTCCTTGTGTTAGCTGTAGCCACGCACAACCTGTATACTATCGCTGGGTGTCCAGACCCACCAGGTAAGGCCCCGGCCAGGCTGGGGCCCAGGTGTGGTCAGGACCCAGGGTACAGAATCCCCTCCATGGGGCAGCTGAGGCAGAAACCAGGGCTTGAGGGATAGAGGGAGGAGGGAATGGCTGGGCTCTGACTTGCCTTTCCCCTGCAAGGGACCATGGAAGAGGAGGAGGAGGAGGATGACTATGAGAACTCAGCACCTCCCTACAAGGACCTTCCTCCCAAGCCAGGTAAGAGGACTTTTTGGAGTGTGACCTGGGGGAATACAGAGAGCAGGGTCTCCAGGGGATGTTGGGTGGGCATTGTAGACACACAGTCTCCTCTGTACTCAGCCCATGCTGGGCACTGTGGGACCCACACCCTGCCAGAAAGATCTATTGGGGGAGGCAGTTCTGGGCACAGCCTTGGTGAGCAGGGCTGAGAGGAGTCAGGAAATTGGCAAAATCCTTGGGGGATTGAGGGCTCAATTAGAGGGGGGACTTTGAGGTGGGATTTGAGGGATGAGTAGACATTTCTTTTTTTTTCTTTTCCTTTTCTTTTCTTTTTCTTTTTCTTTTCTTTTTTTTTTCTGAGAGAGTCTCCCTCTGTTACCAGGCTGGAGTGCAATGGTGAAATCTCAGCTTATCGTAACCTCCACCTCCTGGGTTCAAGCGATTCTCCTGCCTCAGTCTCCTGAGTAGCTGGAGTTACAGGCATGCACCACCATACCTGGCTAATTTTTGTGTTTTGAGTAGAAACAGGGTTTCACTATGTAGGTCAGGCTGGTCTTGAACTCCTCACCTCAGGTGATCCGTCCTCCTTGGCCTCCCAAAGTACTGATGTGAGCCACTGCGCCCGGCCTCTTTTATCTTTTTAAGACGAAGTCTCACTCTGTCACCCAGGCTGGAATTCAGTGGCCCGATCTTGGATCACTGCAACTTCACCTCCTGGGTTCAAGCAATTCTCCTGCCTCAGCCTCCCGAGTAGCTGGGATTACAGCTGCGCATCACCGCTCCTGGCTAATTTTTGTATTTTTAGTAGAGATGGGGTTTCGCCATGTTGGCCAGGCTGTCTCAAGCTCCTGAACTTGTAATCTGCCCGCCTCAGCTTCCCAAAGTGTTGGGATTACAGGCTTGAGTCACCACACCCAGCTTTCTTTTCTTTTTACTTTTTTTAAAGAGTGAGGTCTCCCTCTGTTGCCCAGGCTGGAGTGTAGCAATGCAATCATGGCTCACTGCTGCGTCAACCTCCTGGGCTCAAGCAATCCTCCCACCTCAGCCTCCTGATAGCTGGGGCTACAGGTATGCACCTGAATGGTTTTTTCTAAAATTTTTTTTTCAGAGATAGGGTCTTGCTGTGTTGCCCAGGCTGGTCTTGAATTTTTGGCCTCAAATGATCCTCTTGCCTTGACCTCCCAAAGTGCTGGGATTATAGGCATGAGCCACTGTGCCCAGCCTATTTCTATGTCTCTTTACTGGTTTATTGTCTCTCTGGTCTAGATTGAAGGAAGGAGCTTATCCATCTCTTCCACTCAGGGCTTGGTGTTTTGTAGGGGAGCTCAATGGGAAGGGGACTGTTGTCATTGCTTCTTCTATGCGTGAATCCAAACTCCGGAGAAAGACAAGTGTGTGTGTGTGTGTGTGTGTGTGTGTGTGTGTGTGTGTGTGTGTGTGAGGTCTGGGGCTTCCCTGCTAGATGGATTTACATGTACTTGACTTTGAAAATAAAGAGAAACAGACAGATGCCTTAGACACCTGAGTAGGAGGACAAGCCCTGGCTGCTTCTCCCTATGTTCCTTGTGTTAGCTGTAGCCACGCACAACCTGTATACTATCGCTGGGTGTCCAGACCCACCAGGTAAGGCCCCGGCCAGGCTGGGGCCCAGGTGTGGTCAGGACCCAGGGTACAGAATCCCCTCCATGGGGCAGCTGAGGCAGAGACCAGGGCTTGAGGGATAGAGGGAGGAGGGAATGGCTGGGCTCTGACTTGCCTTTCCCCTGCAAGGGACCATGGAGGAAGAGGAGGAGGAGGATGACTATGAGAACTCAGCACCTCCCTACAAGGACCTTCCTCCCAAGCCAGGTAAGAGGACTTTTTGGAGTGTGACCTGGGGGAATACAGAGAGCAGGGTCTCCAGGGGGTGTTGGGTGGGCATTGTAGACACACAGTCTCCTCTGTACTCAGCCCATGCTGGGCACTGTGGGACCCACACCCTGCCAGAAAGATCTGCCAGTCTGTTGGGGGAGACAGTTCTGGGCACAGCCTTGGTGAGCAGGGCTGAGAGGAGTCAGGAAATTGGCAAAATCCTTGGGGGATTGAGGGCTCAATTAGAGGAGGGACTTTGAGGTGGGACTTGAGGGATGAGTAGACATTTCCTTTTTTTTCTTTTCCTTTCTTTCTTTTTTTTTTTTTTTTTTTTTTGAGACAGGCTGGAGTGCAGTGGCATAATCTTGGCTCACTGCAACCTCTGCCTCCTGGGTTCAAGTGATTATCCTGCTTTAACCTCCCGAATAGCTGGGAATACAAGTGTGTGCCATCGTGACCAGCTATTTTTTTTTTTTTTGTATTTTTAGTAGAGACAGGGTTCCACCATGTAGGTCAGGCTGGTCTGGATCTCTTGAACCTCATGATCCTCCTACCTCAGCCTCCCAAAGTGCTGGGATTACAGGTGTGAGCCACCGCGCCTGGCCTGACAATGTCTTTTTTCTTTTTCTTTCTGAGACATAATCTCACTCTGCCGCCCAGGCTATAGTTCAGTGGTGCGATCTTGGCTCACTGCAACCTCAACTCCTGGGCTCAAGTGATTCTCCTGCCTCAGCTTCCTGAGTAGCTGGGCTTACAGGTGCCCACCACCATGCCCAGCTAATTTTTGTATTTTTAGTAGAGACGGGGTTTCACCATATTGGCTAGGCTGGCCTCAGACTCCTGACCTCAGGTGATCCGCCCACCTTGGCCTCCCAAAGTGCTGGGATTATAGGCTTGAGGCACCGCAGCTGGCCGAGTAGACATTTATTTAGAAGAGAAGTACAGGAGAGGATTGTTGGCTGCAAAGTCCTAAGTCAAGAAGCTGGTGCTTGAGAAACTGGGAGTGGATTGTGGGCTCCTCAGTCTCCTGTCATTACCACCAAAAGCCCAGGGTTTTATTTAGGCTTGGATCTCAGTAAACCCAAGGCATGGCTCAGGGTTCAACAAGAGTCTGATCAGAAGATGTCACAGTGGAGGTATGGGCTGGTTGCAGTGGTGTGTGTCTGTAGTCCCACTGCTTTGGGAGGCCAAGGTGGGAAAAAAAAAAGTGGATGTTTGGGCCAGGCAGGGTGACTCATGCTTGTAATTCTAGCACTTTGGGAAGCCAAGGTGGGAGGATCAATGGAACCCCAGAATAGAGACCAGCCCGGGTAACACAGTGAGACCCCCAGCTATACAACAAAAATTTTTTCAAATGAAAAAAATTAGCCAGTTGTGGTGACGTGTGCTTGTTGTCCCAGCTTCTCAGGAGGCCCAGGTGGTAGGATTGCTAGAGCCCAAGAGTTCAAGGCTGCAGTGAGCTATGATGGCACCACTGCACTCCAGTCTGGTGACAGAGCAAGGCACTGTCTTTAAAAAATAAAATAGGCCAGGCACAGCGGCTCATGCCTGTAGTCCCAGCACTTTGGGAGGCTGAGAGGGGCAGATCACAAGGTCAGGAGTTCGAGACTATCCTGGCCAACATGGTGAAATCCTGTCGCTACTAAAAATACAAAAAATTAGCTGGGCGTGGTGGCAGGTGCCTGTTAGAGACTCAGGAGACTGAGGCAGGAGAATCACTTGAACCTGGGAGGCAGAGGTTGCAGTGAGCCGAGACTGTGCACTCCAGCCTGGTGACAGAGTGAGACTTCTTCTCAAAAAAAAAAAAAATTGCTTGGCACGGTGGCTCATGCCTGTAATCCCAGCACTTTGGAAGGCTGAGGTGAATGGATCACTTGAGGTCAGGAGTTCGAAATCCTGTCTCTACTAAAAATACAAAAGTTATCCAGGCATGGTAGCAAACCCCTGTAATCCCAGTTACTTGGGAGGCTGAGGCAGAATTGCTTGAACTCAGGGGGCAGAGGTTGCAGTGAGACAAGATGGTGCCACTGCACTCTAGTCTGGGCAGCAAAGTAAGATTCCATCTCAAATAAGTAAGTAAGTAAGTAAAGGGAGATACCCAGGCAATACATGTTGATTGGTTACTCTAGCTTAATCCCATCTCCATCCTTCATCCCAATTCCATTCTCACGACTAACCCCATCTCTAAGCCAATCTCCAACCCTCCCCTGCAATCCTAACCCTGTTTCCGTCACTTCCTTTTGACGCGTTCCCATCCTCAGCCCAGCCCTCACCCTGAGCTTCTCTTCTCCAGGTTCAATTGCTCCACCAAGACCTCCACGGGCAGGTGAGTTTGGGCTGAGGGTGAAGGAGAATGAGAGATGGCTTTGCCATGCTCTGGGCCTGAGCAACCATTCCTCCCTCCTCAGAAAAGAAAACAGAGAAACCCCCACTTCCTTGCAAGCCCCGGAAGATGACAGGTGATAGCTGAGGGCTGGGGTCATCCTGCTCACCTGGCTGAAGCCCTTCTTGGAATGACTTTCTCATCTCTTCCAGGACTGGACCTCAATGCTGTCACCTGCACACCTCCTCAACTGGGTGAGCAGTGGGAAGACCCTTCAAGAAGACTAAGAGGTGACACCTGGAAGTTTCCTTTCAATCATAATTTTTTTTTTTTTTTTGAGGCAGTCTCACTTTGTCATCCAGGCTGGAGTGCAGTAGCGCCATCTGGCTCACTGCAGCCTCCACCTCCAGGGTTCAAGTTCCTGCTTCAGCCTCTCGGGTAGCTGGGACTACAGGCAAGAGCCACCATGCCGGGCTGATTTTTATATTTTTAGTAGAGATGGGATTTCACCATGTTGGCCAGGCTGGTCTCAAACTCCTGACCTCAAGTGATCCACCCGCTGTGGCCTCCTAAAATCCTAGGATTATAGGCATGAGCCACTGTGCCCAGCCAGCCCCCTAAATTCTTACCAAAGAATAAAGCAGAGGTTGTTGATCTTGGAAGACAGTCTTTTAGCGTCTTCTGAATAATCTCTCTCCGCCTTTCTCCCAGCTGTGGATCTTGAGCCTTCTCCATTGCAGCCACCCCTGGCCGGTAAGTTCTCATGCCCTGCAGATGTCCTCCTGTTTCCCCTCTGACAGTGGCTAGTGTATTTGATTGAGACCTATGGCTCTAAAGTGAGACTCTGAGTCAGAAAAACTTCTCCTTTAAGAAGCTGCTCCTGCCGGGCGCGGTGGCTCAAGCCTGTAATCCCAGCACTTTGGGAGGCTGAGGCGGGTGGATCACAAGGTCAAGAGATCGAGACCATCCTGGTCAACATGGTGAAACCCCGTCTCTACTAAAAATACAAAAAATTAGCTGGGCATGGTGGTGTGTGCCTGTAATCCCAGCTACTCAGGAGGCTGAGGCAGGAGAATTGCCTGAACCCAGGAGGCGGAGGTTGCGGTGAGCCGAGAGCGTGCCATTGCACTCCAGCCTGGGTAACAAGAGTGAAACTCCGTCTCAAAAAAAAAAAAAAAAAAAGAAGCTGCTCCTTCTGGACCTGCTGCACTGTTCTGAGTTAGTCTAGTAAGCGCTACTCTAAGTAAGAAAGACAGCGCTTCCTTGAGATCAGATTTTGCAAACACGTATTGTCCTTCTGAGGACTGGAGGTATGATGATGTTACTTATGTTTCTGTTGGTGATTGTGATGGAAGGATGAGGAAGGAGATGATGGAAAGGAAGACGATGACTGGTGGTGGTAAAGATGGTGGAGGTAGTGATGACAGTGTTGGTGCTGATGGTAATGGTGGAGTTAGGGATAATGGTGGTGATGGTGGAGGTAGTGATGGTGGTGGTGATGGGGGTGGAGGTAGTGATGGTGTTGGTAGTGATGATGGTGGTGATGGTGGAGGTAGTGATGATGGTGTTGGTAGTGATGGTGATGGTGGAGGTAGTGATGGTGTTAGTAGTGATGACGATGATGGTGGAGGTAGTGATGGTGTTGGTAGTGATGATGGTGGTGATGGTGGAGGTAGTGATGGTGTTGGTAGTGATGATAGTGGTGATGGTGGAGGTAGTGATTGGTAGTGATGATGGTGGTGATGGTGGGCGTAGTGATGGTGTTGTTGGTAGTGATAATGATGGTGATGGTGGAAGTAGTGATGGTGTTGGTAATGACCGTATTAAAAAAAAAGAAGCTGTTCTTCTCTGAGTCTAGTCCAGATCTCCAGAAACTCAGGGTGTCTGCTTGCATAAGATATGGGAAATGTTCTCTGCTCTAGAAGCCGGGGTCCACAAGCTTCCTTGATCTAGGAGCAACTTGGGTAGGGGCTTCTTGAGAGTAGGGGATGATGCCTCGTAGATTCTAAGAACAAAGCTGGGTCCAAGTCATGCCTAACTTCACTAAGCCTCAGCTTACTCACTTTCAAAATGGGAATAATACTTATAATATACATTATAAGGATGAGACTCCAATAAGATAAGAATGATGTAGGTTGGGATTACAGTAGCTCACATACCTCTAATCCCAGCACTTTGAGAGGCTGCAGCAGGGAGGATTGCTTGAGGCCAGGAGTTCAAGACCAGCCTGTGCAACATGGCGAGACCCCCATCTACAAAAAAATAAATAAATAAATAAATTAGCTGGGCCTACGGGCAAACACCTGTAGACCCAGCTACTTGAGAGGCTGAGGTGGGAGGATTGCTTGAGCCCAGGAGTTAGAGGTTGCAGTGAGCTATAATTGCACCACTGCACTCCAGCCTGGAAGACAGAGTGAAACCTTGTTTCAAGAAGGAAAGAAGGAAAAAGAGTAGGATGCAATATGATGCTTAGCGCACAGTAAATACATCAAAAGGACCCGGAGCCGCCCCAGGGTTCACTCTCTTAACCCTCTCTTGCTGACCTCATCTGTTGCAACAGTCATGACTACAGATTTCTGCCCCCTGCTCTTGGAGAAAGGTTTAAGGGCCTCTTCCTCGCTCCCTGAAGCCCCAGTATCAGTCTCTCTGTCCCCATCCCCACTCCCCAGCAGCTCCGGCACCCTGGCCCAGTCAGACATCTGGAGGTCCTGGGTGTTGCCAGAAGAGGCTGATAGTGTGCCTGTGTCTGCTGGTGGCTACTTCCCTGATCCTGAGCTGCTTTGGTCTCATTGTGACCCTGACTAAGTGTGAGTAGGGTCAGGATGGGACACGGGGAGATACTGGGGAGGCTGCGCAGGAGGACCTGGACTCAGTTTGGACTCTTGCTCCTAGATGAGGAGTTGGTGAAAGAACTGAGAATGTTAAGCTTTCAGCAGATGATGTGGCGAGCAAATGGTGAGTGCTTTCACCCATTCCTTCGTGCCGTTCCTATTGAGCCTTAACCCAATCCTCAGATCCAACTCCAAGATCCACCCTCATCCCCGTCTTTGCTGAGCACTGTACTAGATAGCAAGGTGGGTAAAATTATAAACATGTCAGACACAGCCCCTGTCCCTGTGAGGTGTGCATGCGTGTGTATGTGCCCTGACCTCCATTGTCCAATATGGCGGCCACGAGCCTCATGTGGCTGTTGAATATTTGAAATGTGGCCAGTCCAAATGGAAATGTGGTCTACGTATAAAGTATACACTGGGCCAGGTACAGTGGCATCTGCCTGTAATCCCAGAACTTTCACTTTCTCTTTCTTTCTTTCATTTTTTTTTTTTTTTTTTTTTTTTAAGATAGAGTCTTGCTCTGTCTCCAGGCTGGAGTGCAGTGGCGTGATCTTGGCTCACTGCAACCTCTGCCTCCTGTATTCAAGCGATTCTCCTGCCTCAGCCTCCAGAGTAGCTGGAACTACAGGCATGCGCCATCATGCCTGGCTAAATTTTGTATTTTTAGTAGAGACGGGGTTTCAACCTATTGGCCAGGCTGGTCTCAAACTCCTGGCCTCAGGTAATTCACCTGCCTCGGCCTCCCAAAGTGCTGGGGTTATGGGCATGAGTCTCCATGCCCCATCTAGCAAGACCATGTTCCTACAAAGAAAAAAAAAAAAATTAGCCAGGCATGGTGTTGTGTGCCTGTAGTCTTAGCTACTCAGGAGGCTGAGGTGGGAGGATCACTTGGGGCCAGGAGGTCGAGGCTGCAATGAACCACCATCACATCACTGCAATCCAGCCTGTGGGACAGAGCAGGACTCTGTCTAAAAAAAATAAAATAAAGGATCCAGACATCTGAGCTCATTCTACTTTGATCTCAAGCTTTTCTGAGTTTTCTCTCCACCCTTATAGGCTTTGCCAGCTCACTGCAACATGCTTGCTATTTTTGCTTTCTTTTTTAGTTTTTTAGTTTTTTTTTTTTTTAAATTTTGCGACAGAGTCTCACTCTGTTGCTCAGGCTGGAGTGCAGTGGTGTGATCTTGACTCACTGCAACTTCTGCCTCTGGGGTTCAGCGATTTTCCTGCCTCAGCCTCCTGAGTAGCTGGGATTACAGGTATGCATCACCACACCCAGCTAATTTTTGTATTTTTATTAGAGACGGGGTTTTACCATGTAGGCCAGGCTGGTCTTGAACTCTTGACATCAAATGATCTGCCTACCTTGGCCTCCCAAAGTGCTGGGATTACAGGCTTGAGCCGCTATGCCCAGCCTTTTTTTTTTTTTTGAGACGGAGTTTCGCTCTTGTTACCCAGGCTGGAGTGCAATGGCGCGATCTCGGCTCACCGCAACCTCCGCCTCCTGGGTTCAGGCAATTCTCCTGCCTCAGCCTCCTGAGTAGCTGGGATTACAGGCACATGCCACCATGCCCAGCTAATTTTTTGTATTTTTAGTGGAGACGGGGTTTCACCATGTTGACCAGGATGGTCTCGATCTCTTGACCTCGTGATCCACCGGCCTCGGCCTCCCAAAGTGCTGGGATTACAGGCCTGAGCCACCGCGCCCGGCTCGCATCTTTGCTTTGAAGATAGTTCTTGCCTGGCGGGCTTCTTCCTCACCTCACGGTTATCAAATCACTTTCTTCCTTTGTTTTATTTATTTATTTTTTTGCGATGGCATTTCCCTCTTGTTGCCCAGGCTGGAGTGCAATGGTGTGGTCTCGGCTCACCACAACCTCCACCTCTCTGGTTCAAGTGATTCTCCTGCCTCAGTCTCCCTAGTAGCTGGAACTACAGGCGTGTTGTGGCACTCTCGGCTAATTTTTTGTATTTTTGGTAGGGACGAAGTTTCACCATGTTAACCAGGATGATCTCGATCGCCTGACCTCGTGATCTGTCTGCCTTGGCCTCCCAAATTCCTGGGATTACAGGCATGAGCCACTGTGCCCGGCATTGTCTTCCTTTAAAACCCACTTCCTCCAGGGTGCCCACCATCCTTACTCTTCCCCAGGTCCCAGGGATTGATCCCTCCTCTGAGCCATTCTCAGATTCTGAGTACTGTACATGTGGTTTTTGAGCTCAAGCATGACCCACTGGAATGTGGACGCAGTGGAGTCCACATTTGCTTCTCTGTGATGTGTCTGCAGTCCGTGGTGGATGGATGGGGTGGGTTCTGAGTCTCTAATCCTCAAGCCCATCCCTTCTGACAGTGACTGGCATGGCAGGGCTAGCTGGCCTGAAGCATGACATTGACCGTGTAAGAGCTGACACCAACCAGTCCCTGGTGGAACTTTGGGGCTTATTAGGTGAGTGAGGCTTGGGTAATTGCCCAGGGACAGGGGCCATGGCAGAGCTGGCACATTACATTACTGCCCTGAAGTGATTCTCAGTGCAGTCTATGTGAATGGTGTTCCCCTGGAGTTGAGCCCGCACAACTGTATGTGGCATACAATGTACATGGCTCAGGTTCTGGGGCCATCCTGACAGCATCCTGTCCGGTTTCCAGACTGCTCCCGAGTTACCTGTCCTGAAGGTTGGCTCCCCTTTGAGAGCAAGTGTTACTACTTCTCCCCAACCACGAAGTCATGGGACGGAGCCCGGATGTTCTGCCAGGAGAATTACTCACACTTGGTCATCATCAATAGTTTTGCTGAGCACGTGAGTTGTTCCCACTGAATCTTTGAGAACCTTCAGGGACAGCCTGCTTCTCTTTCAGGATGCACACGTCCCTCCCTTCCCTGGGTGGCAGAAACTAGAATTACTTTTCAGTTACTAAAACTTCAGCATCAGGCTCTTCCTAAGATAGCGTCATGCAGAAGTTAAGGAGATATGCTTTGTTTTTGAGTTTGAATTCCGATTGTGTTGATTTAACCTCTACAAGTTTCAAGATTCAGTTTTATCTCTAACATGAAAACACAATAATGAATACCTGTGAGGTAGCACTTTCTATTTTTCAGCTTGTATTCCAAACGCTTTACATCTTACATTCATTAACATAGGCAAGGCTCATGACAACTTGTAAATTAGCATGTCAGTCAGAAGACATTATGTTATGATGCAGTAACAGACAGTCTCCATAGCCCAATGGGGAATGTAGATGAGGCAGCCGGGCTCATGCCTGTAATCCCAGCACTTTGGGAGGCCGAGGTGGGCGGATCACAAGGTCAGGAGTTCAAGACCAGCTTGGCCAACATGGTGAAACCCCGTCTCTACTAAAAATATAAAAATTAGCTGGATGTGGTGGTGGGTGCCTGTAATCCCAGCTACTCGGGAGTATGAGGCAGGAGAATCATTTTGGACCGAGGAGGCGGAGGTTGCAGTGAGCCGAGATTGCACCATTGCACTCCAACCTGGGCAGAGACTCTGTCTCAGAAAAAAAAAAAAAAAAGAGTAGATGAGACAAATCATACATCGATGTCAGAGTTTCCACTTACTTTTGCTCACAAAGAAGTCACATGTACACACCTGTCTTTTAAGGTGGTAGGGAAATAAGTCTCACCTGTGTGCAACCAGAAAGAGGATTGGAATATTCGTAAACAGCTTTACTGACTTGCTACTACAATTTAGGAAGTATCACTATTTGTGCACAACATGTATCATCCTTACTTCACAGATGAGGAAACCGAGGTACAGTGCGCTTCAGCAACTTGCCTGTGGTCACTTACACCTAGAGGGATTTGAGCCTGGGTAGCTGGCTTTCAAGTCTCTGGTCTTGAGCATAGGCATACCACTATAGCATGGTTTATGTCTTCTTTTCTTCTGTTTTTTAGAGATAAAGTCTCACTCTGTCACTCAAGCTGGAATGAAGTGGTATAATCATAGCTCATTGCAGCCTCAAACTCCTCGGCTCAAGCAATTCTCTCCTCACCCTCCTGAGTAGCTAGGGCTACCAGGCACTTGTCACTGTACCCAGCAAATTATTTTTACTTTTGTAGAGACAGGGTCATGCTGTGTTGCCTAGGTTCACGGTTTATGTTTTCTAATGATTTTACTTTTTGTTTGTTTGTTTGTTTGTTTTTGAGACAAGAGTCTCCCTCTGTCACCTTGGCTCACTGCAATCTCCTCCTCCCAGGTTCAAGTGATTCTCCTGTCTCAGCCTCCTGAGCAACTGGGACTACAGGCGCATATCACCACACCCAGCTAATTTTTGTATCTTTAGTAGAGATGGGGTTTCACCATGTTGGCCAGGATGGTCTCGATCTCTCGACCTTGTGATCTGCCCGCCTCATCCTCCTGAAGTGCTGGGATTACAGGCGTGAGGCACCGCACCCAGCCCCATTTTACTTTTAATTTATTTATGTCATTATATTTAAAAATAAAATGTCACTATATATTTTTTTCCAGACAGTATACACTTGATCTTAGCCAAAAGGCCGAGAAGCGATCCAGACAGTATATAGTTGGGTTTGGGTTTTTAAAATCTGATCTGACATTCTCTGGCTTTTAGTTGGTGTTTTCATTTATTTATTTATGTGTTTTGGGAGACAGGGTCTCACCTTGTCACCCAGGCTGGGGTGCAGTGGCACAATCTTGGCTCACAGCAGCCTTGGCCTCCTGGGCTCAAGTGATGCCACCTCAGTCCCCCAACCAAGTAGCTGGGACTACAGGTGCACGCCACCACACCAGCCAATTTTTTTTTTTTTTTTTTTTTTTAATTCGAGACGGAGTTTCGCTCTTGTTACCCAGGCTGGAGTGCAATGGCGCGATCTTGGCTCATCGCAACCTCTGCTTCCTGGGTTCAAGCAATTCTCCTGCCTCAGCCTCCTGAGTAGCTGGGATTACAGGCACGCACCACCATGCCCAGCTAATTTTTTGTATTTTTAGTAGAGACGGGGTTTCACCGTGTTGACCAGGATGGTCTCGATCTCTTGACCTCGTGATCCACCGGCCTCGGCCTCCCAAAGTGCTGGGATTGCAGGCGTGAGCTACTGTGCCTGGCACCAGCTAAGTTTTAAAATTTTTTGTAGAGATGAGGTTTCTCCATGCTGCCCAGGCAAGAGTTTCTCTCTTGAGTTCTCATTCTACTAGGCTGGTAGACATTTACTCTCAGTCAATTGGGGTCCCCCATTTTACTTCTAAACAGGGACAGCTTTTATGGGGTCCAGGTGGAGGAGCGCACACATCGGGTCCTTGTTGTCTTCACTCCAAACTGGTATCTACTAGGACATCTACAGACCGAGTGATCCTGGGAAAGCTATTTAACCTCTCTGTGCCTCAGTTTTCTCATTTACAAAATGGGTGTAATGATAATTCTTGCTTCAGTGAGTCATGATAAGGATCCAATGAGGTAATCTGTGCAAAGAAGCATAGCTCACTGTTTTTTGTTTCTGAGACGGAGTCTTGCTCTGTTGCCCAGGCTGGAGTGCAGTAGCATGATCTTGGCTCACTGAAGCTTCCACCTCCCAGGTTCAGGCGATCCTGCTTTAGCCTCCCAAGTAACTGTGACTACAGGGCAGGTACCACCACTCCTGGCTAAGTTTTGTAATTTTTTTTAGTAGAGTTGGCGTGTCACCATGTTGGCCAGGCTGCTCTCTGGCTCCTGATCTCAAGTGATCCGCCCTCCTTGACCTCCTGAAGTGCTGGGATTATAGACGTGAGCCACCGCGCCCAGCCCATAGCTCACTTCTGGATTCATTAATTCAACCAACATTTACTGAGCACTTACTATGTGCTGAAGACTAGTCTACCTATTGAGAATCCAGTGATGACCAAGACACATGAGTTCCCTCTTCTTTTTTTTTCTTTTTTGAAATGGAGTTTCGCTCTTGTTACCCAGGCTAGAGTGCAATGGCGTAATCACCGCAACCTCTGCCTCCCAGGTTCAAGCAATTCTCCTGCCTCAGCCTCCTGAGTAGCTGGGATTACAGGTGTACGGCACCACGCCCAGCTGATATTTGTATTTTTAGTAGAGGTGGGGTTTCTCCATGTTGGTCAGGCTGGTCTCGAACTCCTGACCTCAGATGATCTGTCCGCCTTGGCCTCCTATAGTGCTGGGATTACAGGCATGAGCCACTGCGCCCAGCCGAGTTGCCTCTTCTTAAACTACTCTGATTTTGGTTCATAGAAATGGCAAGGACTCTCTAAATGTTAAAGAGTCTTCTGTTTTTCTGGGACTCAGTCACTGGGACAACTCTTCCATCATCAAAGCCTTTTGGGCCTAGAGGTGTTTTCTTGCTGTTCTTGGGCACAAGAGATCTTTCTGCTCCTATTCCCTTCCGGGGTCTAAGACACCATGAGGCCTTCTAAGCCTCCGTCTAACCTGATGGGACAGGAATCCCTTCTGCTCTCTGATTTCCTGTCCCCTCCCTGGGACTTTACCCAGGAAATAGTGCCCAGGCCCCTTCTGCTTTTTAGAGTCTCTAAACCCACCTGGGGTTTTTACCATCGCCTGGTGCTCACCGGAAATGAGATGCCGGATTCCTCTCTCTGGGACTTGTGGTCTCCACATCTATTACTTCCTTCCCTTGGTGGCCTTACCTCTCTACATTTTATTTTTTTTCTCAAAGCAGAAATTTTATTGCTCACATTCTTTGAACACAATGGGTATAACTACAGGATTATATATATACTTTTTTTTTTTTAACAAAAATTTCAATCACCTTAAACATGTTTAAATTCAGCTGGCTGTGGTGGTTCACACCTGTAATCCCAGTACTTTGGGAGGCCAAGGCGGGTGGATCACCTGAGGTCAGAAGTTCGAGACCAGCCTGACCAACATGGTGAAACTCTGACTCTACTAAAAATATAAAAATGAGCCGGGCGTGGTGGCGGGCACCTGTAGTCCCAGTTACTTGGGAGGCTGACGCAGGAGAATCGCTTGAACCTGGGAGGTGGAGGGTGCAGTGAGCTGAGATCACACTAGTGCACTCCAGCCTGGGAGACAGAGCAAGACTCTGTCTCAAAAAAAGAAATATTTTTTTAAAAAAGTCACTAAATAACTTTGGGTCAAAGAAGAAATAAAAACTGCAAATAAATAAAAGCAGACATCAATTGGCATTGTCTACAGTAGAACATATGAAATAGATTCTAGTAAAAAATTCTTAAAACACAAAGAATTCCAAGCTGTAAAAAGCTGAGACAAGTGTTACTCACATCCTAACAGCGACAAAAGCCAGATAAACTACAAAATCATAACTTTTCCTAAACTCATCAGATAACTGAGATCATAGGGCAATCAAGAAGTCTAAAATGGGCTGGGCAGGATAGTTCACGCCTGTAATCCCAGCACTTTGACCTCCCCACATTTTAAGGAATCTTGGTTTGGTGATAAGTTGGGTGAGATGTGATTTGCATATAGTAAAAGGCACAGGTCTTTGGTGTTATGTTCAGTCAACTTTGACAAATGCATACACCTGTGTAACTGTGAAACTAACCAATATTTGTAATCTTTCCACCACCTTAGAAAGTTTTTTCATATCCTTTTTCTAGTAATCCCTCCCTGCCCCTGACTGCAACCACTGTCTGATTTCTTTTTTTCTTTTTCTTTTTTTTTTTTGAGATAGAGTCTCACACGGTTGCCTGGGTTGGAGTGCACTATCTTGGCTCACTGCAACTTCTGCCTCCCAGGTTCAAGCAATTCTCCTGCTTTAGCCTCCTGAGTATCTGGGATTACAGGCACCTGCCACCACGCCCGTCTAATTTTTGTGTTTTTAGTAGAGACGGGGTTTCACCACATTGGCCAGGATGGTCTCAATCTCTTGACCTCATGATCTGCCCACCTCAGCCTCCCAAAGTGTTGGTATTACAGGTGTGAGCCACCATGCCTAGGCATACTAGTCTGATTTCTTTCGCCATAAATTAGTTTGCCTGGAGAGGAGTTGCTTCTAACTATATTTTCTTCCCTATCATTAATCTTTGACATAAGTCCTTTCTTGTCTTCCAAAGTCTGCGATTTTGATTTTTTTTTTTTTGAGATGGAGTTTTGCTCTTGTTCCCCAGGCTGGCATACAACGGTGAGATCTCAGCTCACTGCAACCTCCGCCTCCTGGGTTCAAGCGGTTCTCCTGCCTCAGCCATCTGAGTAGCTGGGATTATAGGTATGCACCATCAAGCCCAGCTAATTTTGTATTTTTAATAGAGACGGGGTTTCTCCCTATTGGTCAGGCTGGTCTTGAACTCCCAACCTCAGATGATCTGGCCACCTCGGCCTCCCAAAGCGCTGGGATTACAGGCGTGAGCCACTGCGCCCTGCCAGGATTTTGATTGTTTTTCGGGACAGGTTCTTGCTCTGTTGTCCAGGCTGGAGTGCAGTGGTGCATTCATGGCTCACTGCAGCCTTGAACTCTTGGGCTTAAGGGATCCTCCTACCTCAACCTCCTGAGTGGCTGGGACTATAGGTATGCACCATCACGTCTGACTCATTATTTAACATTTTTGTAGAGATGGGGGTCTCAGTATGTTGCTCAGGCTAGTCTCGAACTCCTGGGCTCAAGTGAGCCTCCCTCCTTGGCTAAAGTGCTGGGATCACAGGTGTGAGGCAGTTTCTGAAGGGTCTGGGCTTTTGAAATACCAAAGCCAGGAAACCTGCTTTTCCTCTTCCGTCTTTCTTTCCCTGAAACAATGAACTCCTGTGCTGTTTCGATGCAGATTAAGGCTTCAGGTGGGGCAAAAGTGCAAGAGAAACCGAAAAATATCAGTTATTATCGCTAAAAATGTCACTTAAATGTTATAATGCTAAATACTAAGCTGTTACAGTATGAGGCCAGGCACAGCAATCCTAGCTGTAATCCTAGCTCTTTGGGAGACTTACAGTGACCTTTGGGAGGCTGCAGTGAGCCATGATTACACCACTGCACCCTAGCCTGGGTGACAGAGTGAGACTGTGTCTCGAGAAAAAAAAAAATTTAGGCTGGGTGTGGTGGCTCATGCCTATAATCCTAGCACTTTGGGAGGCTGAGGTGGATGGATCACCGGACGTCAGGAGTTTTGAGATCAGCCTGGCCAACATGGTGAAACCCCATCTCTACTAAAAAGCACAAAAATTAGCCAGGTGTGGTGGTGTGCACCTGTAATCCCAGTTAGTCAGGAGGCTGAGGTGGGAGAATCACTTGAACCCAGGAAGGCGGAAGTTGCAGTGAGCCAAGATTGTGCCACTGTGCTTCAGCTTGTGTGACAGAGGGAGACTCCATCTCAAAAAAAAAAAAAAAAAAAAAAAAATAATCCTCACAACACTACCAGGAGGTAGCTAATGTTAACTCATTTTACAGATGAGGAAACTGAGGCACAGAGCAGTTCACAGATTGCATGAGAGACAGTAACACGATTATTCCCACCACACATGCTACAGTGGGAGGATGGTGCTGGTCCTGTTCTGCCTGCCATAGGGATGGGGATGGGGTTCGGGAGGTGACGTTCCCAAGCCCTAAATGTGTGGGACAGGGTAGGGGGTAGGTTCTCACCCCGAGGGTCATGTAGAGGAATGGCTGGCTGAATGGAGTTTGTATTTGCAGAATTTTGTGGCCAAAGCTCACGGCTCTCCACGGGTGTACTGGCTGGGGCTGAATGACAGGGAACAAGAAGGGAACTGGAGGTGGCTGGATGGGTCTCCTGTGACATTAAGGCAAGTGCCCAGGTTTCCTGGGGTCTCTCTGCTTCTTCTGTTGGCCCTGATCATGGGGAGAGAAGAAGGTGATGGAGTACGTGATTGAAGGAGTCAGGAGCTGGTTCTTACCAGTACAGCTCTACTTGTTATCTTATTTATTTACTGAGACGGAGTCTCTCTGTTGCCCAGCCCGGAGTGCAGTGGAACGCTCGCAGCTCACTGCAACCTCTGCCTCCTGGATTCAAGCAGTTCTCCTGCCTCAGCCTCCTGAATAGCTGGGATTACAGGTGCGCACCACCACACTTGGCTAATTTTTGTATTTTTAATAGAGACAGAGTTTTGCCATGTTGGCCCAGCTGGTCTCAAACCCCTGGCCTCAAGTGATCTGCCCGCTTCGGCCTCCCAAATTGCTGGGTTACAGGCGTGAACCACCACACCTGACCTGGCCAATTTTTACGTGTTTGTAGAGATGGAGTTTTGCCATGTTGCCCAGGCTGGTCTTGAACTCCTGAGTTCAAGCAATCCTCTGGCTTTGGCCTTCCAAAGTGCTGGAATTACAGGTGAATCCCACCAGGCCTGATGAAGAGGATTTTGATTTGCCAAAATAATGAGCAAGAGCTCATGAAAAAAAAGACACAGGGTCTCACTCTGTCATGTAGGTTGGAGTGCAATGGTGTGATCACAGTTCACTGCAGCCTCCAGCTTCTGGGCTCCAGTGATACTCCTACTTCAGCCTCCTGAGTAGCTGGGACTACAGGTGTGCACCACCACACCTGGCTAATTTTTAATTTTTTTGTAGTGATGGGGTCTCGCTGAGTTGCCCAGGCTGGTCTGGTGCTTCTGGGCTCTAGTGATCCTCCCACTTCAGCCTCCCAAAGTGTTGGGATTTATTAGCATGAGCCACTGTGTCTGGCCAGGATCTCATTTTTTTAAAAAAACAAACCAGAGGATAATCTCTACAAGATCTCTCTCCCTCTGCCCCACTTTTTTTTGAGGAGTTTTGCTCTTGTTGCCCAGGCTGGAGTGCAGTAGCATGATCTCGGCTCACTGCACCCTCTGCCTCCCAGGTTCAAACAGTTCTCCTGCCTCAGCCTCTTGAGTACTTGGGATTACAGGCACCTGCCACCACATTCAGCTGATTTTTTGTATTGTTAGTTGAGACGGGCTTTCACTATGTTGGCTAGGCTGGTCTCGAATTTCTGACCTCAGGTGATCCACCCACCTTGGCCTCCCAAAGTGCTGGGATTACAGGTGTGAGCCACCATGCCTGGCCAAAATCTAATTTTTAACTGGAGAGTCCGTAACTCTCTGGAGAGCTGGTATGGCATGGTGAGGCATTGAGGGTGCCTGGCTTCTTCCAACATTGGGTTCTTTTTTTCTTTTGAGACAGAGTCTTGTTCTGTTGCCCAGGCTGGTGTACAGTGGAACCATCTCTGCTCACTGCAACCTCTGCCTCCCTGGTTCAAGTGATTATTGTGCCTCAGCTTCCCGAGTAGCTGGGATTACAGGCACCTGCCACCACACCTGGCTAATTTTTGTATTTTTCTTAGAGACAGGGTTTCACCATGTTGACCAGGCTGGTCTTGAACTCCTGACCTCAAGAGATCCACCTGCCTCAGCCTCCCAAAGTGCTGGGATTACAGGTGTGAGCCACTGCACCCAGTGGAACTTTGGCTACAAAAGCTCACAGGAATGCTTTTTCCAGAAAGTTGTTCTCAGCTGAATGGGAGTGTGCTCACCAAAGATGTTACCCGACTATTGGGGTCAGCTCACAACCAGTGACAGCCTAAGATAAGCCTGAACCCCTTATGACAAGTTGGGATGACTGTGATGCTGTTCACATCCCAGTGGTCTCTGTGGGGTCAGGCTGATGCTAGGGTCATCTGAGTCCACGTTCCTGCTCAATTCCTTTCTCTTCTCCATCCGGCTTCCCTCACCTCTCTCCTAAGAATATCCTTTAATAAATTCCACGTACGGCCAGGCGCGGTGGCTCACTCGTGTAATCCCAGCACTTTGGGAGGCCGAGGAGGGCGGATCACCTGAGGTCAGGAGTTCGAGACCAGCCTGACCAACATGGAGAAACGCTGTCTCTACTAAAAACACAAAAATTAGCTGGGCATGGTGGCTCATGCCTGTAATCCCAGCTACTCTGGAGGCTGAAGCAGGAAAATCACTTGAACCTGGGAGGCAGAGGTTACAGTGGGCTGAGATTGTGTCATTGCACTCCAGCCTGGGCGACAAGAGCAAAACTCTGTCTCAAAAGAAAAAAAAAAAAAAAAAACACTCCTGAGTCCTTGAATCAGGCTCTGCTTTAAGCAGACCCTACGTGACCTAAGACGTGACAATTCCTAGGAGGTTGGAAAGGTTGGGTTGGGAGGTTTTAAAGGAAAGAGTCCTTGGGAGACAAGACAGAAACTGACCAGATTCAGAAATTGATTCAGGGCCAGGCATGGTGGCTCACGGCATCCGGCTTGCAGGTGCAAGCCTCCGTGCCGGGCCTGATACGGGTTTTGACAAATGCATAATGCCAGATATTGACCATTACAGTATTATACAGAAGAGTTTCACTCCCCTAAAAAATCCCCTCCCTCTGCCCACGTTTTCCTCCATCCAGCTTCTGGGAGCCAGAGGAACCCAATAACATCCAAGAAGAGGACTGCGCTAGCATGAACAAAGATGGCACCTGGAATGATCTCTCTTGCTACAAAACTACGTATTGGATTTGCGAGCGGAAGTGTTCCTGTTGAACCTCAGGGCCGAGGCTAGGGGTTCATATTCGAGTGTCCCTCACTCTTCAAGATGAGAATCTCCTGACCTTTCATGGACAGCCTTGCCTCTTTATGAATGGACACAGGTGTGCCCCAGACAGGATTGGCACCCTGGATGCAGCAAGTTTCCAGGGATGCAAGTCAGGCTGTTTCTGGAGTGAAGATTTGGGTTTGCCCCAGTAGACAGTGAGCTGGGAGGACACTCAGGGCTTGGGGATGGGAGGTCTCCCAGTTCTAGGATTGAAAGGATTGTCACCAAGTTCCTGATCATGACTCTTGAGAAGTGATCCTAGCTCTGAGGACCCTGGGGCTGCTATTGAACCTGGGATGAAACATCGTGGCACCTCTACTGGGACTGGGCTCCCTTTTCTGCAGCCTCAAACTTCTGGACTCAGGTGATCCTCTCATCTGAGCCTCCTGAGTTAGCTGGGACTATACATGTGCACCGCCATGCCTGGCTAACTTTTTGTAGTGTTTAAAGAGAGGGAGTCTCACTATGTTGCCCAGGCCAGTCTCAAACTCCTGGCCTCAACTGATCCTCCTCCTTGGGCCTCCCAGATTGTTAGGATTACAGGTGTGAGCCACTGTGCCTGGCTCAAAATTATTATTATTTTTATAGAGGTGAGGTCTCACTATGTTGCCCAGGCTGGTCTCGAACTCCTGGGATCAAACAATCCTTCTGCCTCGGGCTTCCAAAGTGCTGGGATTACAGGTATGTGTCACTGCACCTGGCCAATATTTTTATTTTTATTTTACCTTCCCCGTCTTTTCCTTTTTTTTTTTTTTTTTTTTTTTTAACAAAAGCTTTGAAAGTGGTGACGGGCAGCAAAATTTGCCTTTGAGCTAGACCTTTGGGTCTGCCTTGCACATTAAGTGGGCTGGTCTCACATCGTCTCCACCATCATTGCAAATTACAAACCTAACAATCACAGAACGTCAGTGGAGAAGACAGGAGAGCTTCCATACCCACCCCATGTCCTCCTCTCCAGACACTGCTTCTTTCCTCGTCTTAAACAACACAAGTAACCCAGAAGCCATCAAAAATTATTTTCGACAAGCAACTTTCTCAATGTCTTGGGTGAGGTGTGCACAAACTAAGTGGCAGAATCAGACCTTTGCCAGAAGACTTGGCCCATAAAACTTCTATCCTGTTTTTTTTTTTTTGAGGTAGGAGCTCATTCTGCCGCCCAGGCTGGGGTGCAGTGGTAAGATCATAGCTCACTGTAGTCTCCGCCTCCTGGGCTCCAGTGATCCTCCTGTCTCAGCCTCCCAAGTAGCTGAGACCGCAGGTGTGCACCCTCATACCTGGTTGGCCCTTGGAACTTCCAGAAAGGCATACCAGCTGAAAAGCAAGACTTACATAGTGTGGCCAGGCCAGGCCCTAACCAGGTCAGATCCACACAGGACAACAATGGACATATCTGCCAACATGCGCCCTTGTGTCTGTGGGTTGTAACATCTTTGATGATATTATTCACTTTACTGGCCAGGCATGATGGCTCATGCCTGTAGTCACAGCACTTTGGGAGGCTGAGGTTGGCAGATCACCTGGAGTCAGGAGTTCGAGACCAGCCTGGCCAATATGGTGAAACCCCGTCTTTATTAAAAACACATAAGAAAAGTAGCTGGGTATGGTGGCTTGTGCCTGTAATCCCAACTATTTGGGAGGCTGGTGCAGGAGAATTGCTTGAACTCAGGAGGGGAGGTGGAGGTTGCAGTGAGCCGAGATTGTGCCCCTGTATGCCAGCCTGGATGACAGAGCGAGACTCCATTTCAAAAAAAAAAAAAAAATTCACTTTACTTCTGTGTGAACTTCCTTGGGCTATTAGCTCTTGCAATGTTAGTGCTTCTCAAAACGCCACTTCCTTGGGTGTTCCTTGTCTACTGTGTGTTAGTTTGCTGGGGCTGCCCTAACAAAAGACCATAGACTGGGTGGCTTCGGCAACAGAATGCATTTTCTCAGTTCTGGAGGCTGGATGTCCAAGATCAAGGTGTTGGCAGCATTAGTTTCTTCTGAGGCCTCTGGTCTTGGCTTGTAAAGGATCCTCTTCTCTCTGTGTCTTCACCTGGTTTTCCCTGTATGTGTGTGTCTGGGTTCTAATCTCCTCCTCCTCTTTATTTTTTTCTTTTTTGAGACAGGATCTTGCTCTGTTGCCCCAGCTGGAGTGCAGTGGTATGATCTCAGCTCACTGCAACTTCCACCTTCCAGGCTGAAGCCATCCTCCCTCCTCAGCCTCCTGTGTAGCTGGGATTACAGGTGCACACCACCACGTCTGGCTAATTTTGGTAGCAACGGGATTTTACCATGTTGCCCAGGCTGGTTTTGAACTCCTGGGCTCAAGTGGTCTGCCCACCTTGGCCTCCCAAAATGCTGGGATTACAGGTGTGAGCCACTGTGTTGGGCCTACAATGACCTTTTTAAAGATCCTGTCTCCAAATACAGTCATATTATGAGGTCCTGGGAATTAGAATTTCAACATATGCAATTGGGAAGGGTGGCACAATTTGGCCCATAGCATTCACAAACTTCCAGAGTGACCCCCGGCCACGTGACAACCAAACATCAATTAGAGGGCTGGTATTACTCCTGGCTAGGAATACTCAACGTAGTATTCTCTTTGGACAATCCCCAAATTGCATCCAAGAATGGGTAGACATTCTCCAAACGGATCAATTTATTTTATTTTATTTTTTTGAGACAGAGTCTTGCTCTGTGGCCCAGGCTGGAGTGCAGCAGCACGATCTCGGCTCACTGCAACCTCTGCTTTCCAGGTTCAAGTGATTCTCCTGCCTCAGCCTCCTTAATAGCTGGGATTACAGGTGCATGCCACCATGCCTGGCTAATTTTTGTATTTTTAGTAGAGACAGGGCTTTGCCATATTGGCCAGGCTGGTCTCGAACTCCTGACCTCAAGTAATCCATCTGCCTCAGCCTCCCAAAGTGCTGGGATTACAGGCGTGAGCCACCACGCCTGGCCTTATTTTATTATGTGAGACAAGTTCTCACTCTGTCGCCCAGGCTGGAGTGCAGTGTTGTAATCATAGCTCGCTGCAGCCTCAAACACCTGGGCTCAAGTGATTCTCCCTCCTCAGACTCCTGTGTATATAACTAGAACTGCAGGTGTGCCCTACCACACCCAACTAATTAAACATTTTTTTCTTTGTAGAGATAGGGGTCTTGCTATGTTGCCCAGACTGGGCTTAAACTCCTGGCCTCAAACAATCCCATCCTCCTGCCTCAGCTTCCAAAGTGCAAGGATTGTGATCAATTTATTCATCAACAATCACCCTTCATTAATAGCAGACTCTTTCCTGTTTCATCTGAGAACAGGTGATTATAGCAAGGAGACGGCGAGGGCGGGGGAGGTTGGGGCTGATTTCACTTCCTGTTTCTTTGATTTGTTTTAAATCTACTTGTTCTTTTATTTCGTTATTTTTTTACTTTTTGAGACTGACTCTCACTCTGTCAACCAGGCTGGAGTGCAGTGGTGCGATCTCGGCTCACTGTAACCTCCGCCTCCTGGGTTCAAGTGATTCTCATGCCTCAGCATCATGAGTAGTGGGTGTGCCATGACGCCCGGCTAATTTTTGTATTAATAGAGACAGGCTTTCACCATGTTGGCCAGGCTGTTCTCAAACTCCTGACCTCACGTGATCCACTCGCCTTGGCCTCCCAAAGTGCTGGGATTACAGACGTGAGCCACCGCACCTGGCCACGTTATTTATTTTTAGGAGGTGGGTTCTCAGTAGGTTTCCCAGGCTGGAGTGCAGTGGCAATTCACAGGCAAGAATGATCCTACTACTGAGTTTTGGTCGACTCTGTCCTCTGTTCTCACCTCCACCCACCCCTGCACCTGCCCCAACTCATGACTACCAAAGCCACCTCCGGTGCTGTCCGCAGCCTGCTGAGTGGGTGGATGTGGTGTTGTAAACCGTCCATCCGGGGGACTGTTGTGGCAAGCAACTTTATGTGGGGTCAGGGGAAGATCTCACATTTTGGAAGAGGGAACTTGAGTGTTCTCTGATAAGTGTATTAAGAAATGGGGAAGCTGCGGGCTGCGGTCATATCTCTGGCTCATGCTGCCGGGGGAAGCCTGGAGGATCTGGTTCCATCCTAGCTGCTTTCCACATCGCTCACGATTGTCTAATTGTGGACAGAGAGGTAAACACGAAAGAGGTCGCTTTTTGCCACTTTAGGTCCAGGGGAGCAACAGTTGGATAAAAGGAATAACCATGGTTTATCAAACATGTACTGCATGGTAGATAAATGCAGTGGCTCTCATTGAATCTTCACCATGACTTTGTGAGGTCAAAATAATTATCAACTCCCACCAATCTTTTTTTTTTTTTTTTTAAACAGAGTCTCACTCTGTTGTCCAGGCTGGAGTGCAGTGGTGTGATGTCAGCTCACTGGAACCGCTGCCTCCTGGGTTCAGGTGATTCTCCTCAGCCTCCCAAGTAGCTGGGATTACAGGAGCACCGTAATGCCCAGCTAATTATTGTATTTTTAGTATAGATGGGGTTTCGCCATGGTGGCCAGGCTGGTCTTGAGCTCCTGAGCTCAGGCAATCCACCTGCCTTAGCCTCCCAAAGTGCTGGGATTACAGGTGTGAGCCACTGTGCCCGGACCCATTTCCTTTCTTTTCTTTTCTTTCTTTCTTTCTTTTTTTTTTTTATTGGTCTTTGCTCTGATTTTTATAATTTCCATTCTTCTGTTTCATTTGGGTTTCTTTTGCAGTAATTTTGCTGACTTTTTTTTTTGTGAGTAAAATAGTCAGAAAAAGTATTGTATTCTTCACTCACTTTCTCCATACCTAAAGAATACATGCACATCAGATTAGATGTTTTCGTCATACAACAAATGAGAATGTTTGCCATTATTTCATGAATACATGTATCTCTTTTTTTTTTTTGAGAAAGAAAAAAAGAATAATAAAAAGAATAAAGAAGAGGAAGAAAGAGAAAGAGGAAGAGGGAGAGAGAATGGGGGTATTGCTTTATTCCCCGGGCTAGAATGCAGTCTAAATATGGGTATGCCTATAATTGTCCTTAATAATGGAGACATAAAATAAAATGAGGGAAGAGAATAACAAACAAGGAGCCAACCAACATTTCGTTTAAACTTCTAAGTTGATATGATGTGGTACTGATAAGAGTGTATATTTTGTTTAAAGTGGAGAGTTCTATAAATGTTAACTACGTTTACTTGTTCCAGATCTGAGTTCAAGTCCTGGATATCGTTGTAAATTTTCTGTCTCATTGATCTGTCTAATATTAATGTTGAAGTCTCCGACTATTATTGTGTGGGAATCTAAGTCTCTTTATTAGTCTTATATGTCTGGGTATTCCTGTATTGGGTGCGTACATATTTAGGATCTTTAGCTCTTCTTGTTGTTGTATTGATCCTTTTATCATTATATAATGTCCTTCTTTGCTTCTTTTGATCTTTGTTGCTTTAACAACTATTTTAACAGAGGCAAAAATTGTAACTTCTGCTTTTTATTTATTTATTTTTGCTCTCTGTTTGGTTGGTAAATCTTTCTCCATCCCTTGTTTTGAGTCTTTGTGTATCCTTGAATGTGAGACGGGTCTGGATGCAGCATACTGATGGGTTTTAGTTTTTTATCTAAATTGTCTGTCTGTCTTTGGATTGGGGGATTTAGTCAATTTAAATTTAGAATTAACAATGATATATGTGAGTTTAATACTGCCATTTAATATTAGCTGGCTATTTTGTCCATTAGTTGATGTAAATTCTTCATTATATTGATGCTCTTTTTGGTATTTTTTAGAAAGGCTAATACTGTTTATTCCTTTCTATGTGTAGTGGTTCTTTCAGAAGCTCTTGTAAAGCAGGCCTGGTGGTGATGAAATTGAGTGCTTGCTTGTTCACAAAAAACTTAACTTTTCCTTCACTTATGAAGCTTAGCTTGGCTGGATGTGAAATTCTGGGTTGAAAGTTCTTTTCTTTAAGGATGTTGAATATTGGTCCCCACTCTCTTCTGGCTTGTAGGGTTTCTGCTGAGAGATCTGCTGCAAGTCTGATAGGCTTCCCTTTGTGGGTAACCTGACCTTTCTCTTTGGCTGCCCTTAGTATTTTCTCCTTCATTTCAACCCGGGTAAATCTGACGATTATGTGCCTTGGAGTTGCTCTTCTTGAGGAATATCTTTGTGGTGTTCTCTGTATTACCTGGAGTTGAATATTATCTTGCCTTACTAGGTTGGGAAAATTTTCCTGAATAATATCCTGAAGCATATTTTCCAGCTTGGATTCATTCTCTTCGTCACATTCAGGTACACCTATCAAGCGTAGATTAGGTCTTTTCACATAGTCCCATATTTCTTGGAGACCTTGCTCGTTCCTTTTTATCCTTTTTTTCTCTAATCTTGTCTTCTTGTTTTATTTCATTGAGTTGGTCTTCGACCTCTGATATCCTTTCTTCTGCTTGATCAATTCGACTGTTAAAACTTGTACATACTTCACGTAGTTCTTGTATTGTGTTTTTCAACTCCATCAATTCACTTATATTCCTCTCTAAATTGTGTATTCTTGTTAACATTTTGTCAAACCTTTTTTCAAAGTTCTTAGTTTCTCTGGATTGTGTTAGAACAAGTTCTTTTAATTCACAGAAGTTTCTTATTATCCACATTTTTGTAGCCTGCTTCTGTAATTGGAACACACTCGTTCTCCATCAAGCCTTGTTTCGTTGCTGATGAGGAACTGGGATCCCCTGCTGAGGGAGAGGCGTTCTGATCTTGGGTATTCTTAGCCTTTTTTGGCTGTTTTCTTCCCTTCATTGT